TTTGCTTTTCATGACTTGGAATATTTCTTGCCATTCCCTTCTGGCTTGGAGTGTTTCTGTTGAGAAGTCAGGTACTAGCCTTAGCAGAGCTCCCTTATCTGTTACTACCTCTGTCTCCCCTGCTTCCTTTAGGATTCTCTGTTTGTTTTTGATATTTGCCATTTTAATGATGATGTGTCTTAGAGTGGGCCTCTTTGGGTTCCTCTTGAATGGGACCCTCCATGCTTCCTGGACTTGTGTGACATTTTCTCTCCTCAAATGAGAGAGGTTTTCCATCATTACTTTTTCAAACAGGTTCTCTATCCCTTCTTCCTCTTCTTCTCCTTCTGGTGTCCCTATTATACAGATATTATTACGTTTCATGTTCTGCATTTCCCTAAATGCCTCTTCATTCTTTTTGAGTGTTTTTTTTTTTATTTTCTTGCTCTTGCTGGGACTTTTTTCTACCTTATCCTCCAGCTCACTGATTCGGGCCTCTGCTTCATCTAGCCTTCTTTGTATTCTTTCTACTGTGTTCTTCAATTCAGAAACTGTCTTCCTCATTTTCTCTTGTCTCTTATTGATAGTTGCTATGTCCTTTCTCATGCTGATATAGTTTGCACTAAGTTCCTCGTAGTTTCCCTGTAGTTTTTGGCAATTCTCTCTGAGCTCACTGAGCTCATTGAGCTTCCTTAGAACCATTTTTTTGAACTCAATATCTGGTAGTTTATTTGCCTCTCTTTCATTTAGTTCTCTTTCTGGGGATTCCTCCTTTCCCTTTGACTGGGGGTAGGGGCGGTTTCTTTGTCTTCACATTATTTGTGAGGCTCTTCTTTTTTGCTTCTGCTTCTGCTTCTTAAATTGATCTGTCTTGATTTCCTGACTTTGTGGTATGACCTTCTATGGTAAGAGACCGCTGTTGTTTTTTTCCCTGGATCTCCCTCTGTTGATGTCAGATGTTGACCCTGTCTGACCTTAGGCAGTCTGTTCAAGACTTCCAGGAATCTACTCTGTGTGGCTGTCTCCTTCAGTTGTTAATCTAGTCACTCTGGACTCAGCAGGCCAGCTTAGAGACACCACAGAGTGGGGCAGAGTCCCTCCTGGGGGCAGGGTTATTGAGTTCTCTCATGCTGCTTTTGCTCACGGGAGTGGTCTGCCTGAGCAACATGGCTGCTGCCACATGGGGGATGAGTCAGCACCAGGATCCTGCCCCCTACTTCTTCAGTTTTCACCACAGAATCTCCTTCCCCAGTCTCTCCTCAAGCACCTCTAGCCCACTCTGCCCCTGCCATTGCCGGAGCCCAGGGTAAGTGGCTGCAAACAAAAATTTATGCATTGGTCCTTAAACAGCTCTTTGCGTCACCAGCCACCTGTCTCTGGCAGAGAGCAACCCTGCCACTTTTTGAAGCTGGCTGTTATCTGTGTACTTTTTGGGCTCTGGTGCTATGGGCTGGAGATCCCCACTTTATGGTTTAGACCCTGCTCTTCTCAGGAGGATCCAACTGGCCATTTCAATATCCTTCTGGGGCTCCACCCATGGGCTCTGCACTTGCTTTCTGGAGTCTCTACTGCACTCCTTACCAGTTAGATTGTGCTAAAGCTGATTCTTCTGTCTGCCTGAGTTTAAAAGGTTCGACTCTCGCTATTGTTCAGTTGTTTTTTCCAGGTGATTTCGCCACAATTTTGTTGTAATTCCAGATTGGTCCTGAGAGGAAGCCACTCACTCCTCCACCATCTTGATTCTCTCCTCTCTTGTGGCTTTTAAGAGTCTCTTCTTGCCTTCAAACCTTCCCAACTTAATTATGATGTGCCTTAGTGTGGGCCTCTTTGGATCCATCTTGTTTTGGATCCTCTGCACTTCCTGGAACTGTGCATCATTTTTCTTCAACTGGTTAGGGAAGTTTTCAGTTATTATTTCTTCAGATAAGGTTCCAATCCCTTGCACACTATCTTCACCTTCTGGTATCCCCATGATGTGGATATTGTTACATCTTATGTTGTCTAAAATGTTTCTTAAGCTCCCCTTATTTTTTAAAACTATTTTTTCTTTTTGCTGCTCTTTCTTGGTGTTTTCAACTACCTTGTCTTCCAAATCACTGATTTGATCCTCTGCTTCATTTAACCTACATTTATTCCTTTCACTGTATTATTTGTTTCAGATACTGCATTCTTGATTTCTGACTGGTCCTTTTTTATGGTTCTCATGTCTTTTTTCATACTGTTGAGCATCCTTATAATCAGTTTAAAATATATATCATAAATTCCTTGTATCGTTTCATTCAGTTCCTTTTTCTGGAGAATTCTTTTGTTCTTTCATTTGGGAACTGTTTCATGGTCTTCCTGTTTTGGCTGCTTCCTGTGTTTGTTTGTATGTATTAGACTGATATGCACAGACTCCGCTGGCAAACGGCCTTTATTTTGAAATAGTTTTTTTTCAAGATTAAAAATTCTAGGTGAACATTTCTCCTCCACATACTGATATGATTACTGCATTGTCTTCTAGAAGTTGTTGTGTGGTTGACAAATATTCTTCTTCTACTTAGATGTCATTTTTATGGTTAATATGCCTTTTTCTTGCCAAAATCTTTTTCTAGCTATTTAATTATGAAAAATTTCAAACTACTGATAACTTGGGAAAATTTACAGTAAACATAGATTCACAATAAACATGTACTTTTCTTGATCTATCATATTTCTCTCCATCTACCCACTTCTGTATTCATTCATTAAACAACCTCAACTTGGAAACATTTTAATGTTGCAAACAGTAGTATGCTTCCATCCAAACACTTTAGCTTGTATATGATCAACTAGACTTTGATATTTGTATTTCTTTTCTTTCTCTCCTGAGATAAAATTTACAATGAGATGTACAAGTATTAAGTATATCATTCTATCAGTTCCCACCAAATTATTCTCCTGCAAAATCCAAATCTTTATAAAGAGACAGAATGTGACCATCACCCTAGAACTTAAGAAAATCTTCTCTGAGGAAAGGAGGGAGACCTTACCTCCCTGGGATATTTCTAAGGAGGGAGATATTCTCTCATTTATACTGATCAGAAAACAAATATGCCCTCTGACCTGGAGGGCTACATTAATCCTGGCTCCCAAAACTGTTTGCCGCTCACCCATCCTTGACAAGAGACTCTGGGCATGTGGCAAGCCTAGGACAATCGCCTCCCAACAAATTGGCCTCACACAGCAGGTCCTGGCAGTTTCCCCATGAGGACACCGGTCCACCAGCCACGATGATTAATGGGACCACCGGAGGCTAGGAACAAACTCGCTCAGTTGGTTTCCTTCGGTATTTAACAAATTTCCTAAACTATAGTTGTCTTAAGTCTCCCATAATCACTCCTATGGTGCAAGTCACCATGTTTGCACAAAGGCACGTGAAGGCCTGGCTTTCACGCAGGAGGTACAATCCCAAGGGCATGCAGGGCGACCCTGAAAGACAGGCACTTGCCGTTGCTGAGGTTCCTAAGGGGAACACAGCCGCCGGGGTAAGGTGGGCCCCTGGCCAGCTGGGATCCTTACAGCTCTCAGCTCTGTCCAGTGCTGAAGGGGTTTGGAAGGAGGTGGGGACAGGGAAGTCTCTCCAATCTGGCCTCTTTGTTCATAATATCCAGATGGCACTTGTCACCACTATGCCCCACCACTGAATGACTGAGAATCAGCGTGGGGACATTGTCCAGAGTCACTCTCCACGGGATCTTAGATACCGGCACCAGCCCCTGTTTCCTTAGATCTGATACTAAGCAGCAGACTCAGCATCCATGTGGTGAAAGACCTGGACCAGGTGGTTTCCTTCCGGAAGGAGGACTCAGGGCAGCTCTGAATGACAGATGTCATTAATGCCTCTCCACCTCCCATACCTCCTAGGTGTTTCCTCTTCAGGTGCCTGGATCTTTGCTCTTCCTTCACTGTCACGAAACCTGTGTGTGCCATTCCAGTGGCTGTAACTTCAGTTTCTTTACATAATCTCCTACTCGGACTTTTCATCCAGAAGATTCAGACATAAGCGGGGCAAAGAGTTTTCTCAGTCTTTAAATATCATAAATAATGCTGTTTTGTGTAAAGTTTTGGAAAAATAATGGAAAGGCTTTTTGAAAAATATATAACCATTATAAAATCTGAATTTTCTGGGCACTCTGATGACCGTACATTCAAGGAATTTTGGGGAAAGAACAAGGCATCATTCCCAGCAAGGGTCAGAACAGAATCCAGAATTTTCAGAACCGGTCTCTATAACGCCATGAATCCCCTCCCCCTCAACTTTGGTCCTGATCACAGTGCAGCAAGAAGCTGATCCCTCTCTGCCTTCAGTGGGGACAGCAGCCTTCCGTGCCCAAAGAGCCCTAACAGGGAAGTGTGTGGACAGGAGGAGATGCCACAAAGTTAGATGATCAGGGCATTGAGTGTAGCTTCTGATATTCTGATAATATTGTCAGACCGCAAATGGTCCAGCGAGCCATGCAATTTGCAGATTGTTCTAGAGCTTCCTGAGCTTTGGACGAAGCTGCTGTGGGGGAGGAATGAGGCAAAGCAGCGAACACAAACAGCAGACGCCGTGTCCATCAGGTCGGCCCATCGCTGTCCTCTCTGCCCCTGAGTCAGAGCTCACACAGGAAGAGGCCTGCACAGGCTGGACTGTGTCTGCAGCGACCTGAGTGCAGGGAAATAGCCCCGGTGCAGAGCCCCCTCCTACCAGGGCAGCAGCTGCGTGTGCCACTGTCACCTGAGAATCAGGGGGCTGACTGCATGGGGACAATTTTATTGACTCTTGATGTCTCTGCTACAGCGTTCGGATTGTGGGGAGTTTCAGAGGTGAAATCAAGGTAGACATTCTGTGGTTATGTATCAAAAATGCCACTGAAAGCAAGACTATGAAAATCTGCAGATTTGTGGAATAAAGTTCCCTAAGCACCCCTATGAATTTCCAAAACAACCTCAAGATGGAAGAAAATTGTCCGTGTACAATTGTAATATGAGACAGAATGAAGAATGTTCTCTTTCAGGGGCAGGACAGCACCCAAGTGAGCCTGTGGATTTTGCAGCTGAAATACTTCCTGTGGCGTGTAAAACAGAGAAGGGGCTGTTAATTAAGAGAAAATTGGAACGAGGTAGGTTTCAAGGTTTACTTTAATTTGCAACCCCTATATGAAGGAATCACATGAAATAATGGAATTATCCATGTGAATTTCCAGTTGCTCAAGGAACTGAGGCCCCACTGTGGCTGGAAAGAAGGAGGAAGGATCCCTAAGATGATATGTTTACACTTTAAACAATGGCGCATATTAAGTGCTCACACCCACTAGCAAGTGCCCATGAGGAAGCCCAAGGAACCAAAGAGAATTGCAGGATCGTCCGTCTCTGGGTGGAAAATGCTGCACTTCTAACTTTGAATCCGATATAACAGGGAAGAGGCCCTCCGCCTGCAAGCTCGCCTCCTGTGTCCCCTCTGGATAATCACCGCCAGGACAGGGTGTCAGGGGTGGTGGGGAGATCACAGGGTTTAGAGTCAGAAACCCTGACTCCCAGCCTCAGCCCTGCCCAGAGCGGCAGTGTGAAGGCTGGGACCTCCCCGAGCCTGAACGTTCTCATCTGAGAAACGGGTGACAGGTACAAACCTGCCTCCAGGTGTGACTATGAGAGTTAGTTCACACAATGAATATAATGTGTTTTGTGGCTTTAACATTAGAAAGCTTTTCAATGGCTGTCTATTATGGTGAACTTCCTATCAGACTATTCTTAATATGCCTATGAGTGAACACTTAATATAAATAAATGTTTGCATCATAAGTATTTTTTAAAACAGCTTCATTGAGACATAACTCACATATATATAATTTCTCATTTAAATTGTATAATTCATGGTTGAGTTTTTTGTTTGTTGTTTTTTCTTTCACAAGATTATAAAACCATTGTCACCATCTAATTTTAGAACATTTTGTCCTCCCTCAAAGGAAACCTGATGTCTCTCAGCTGTGAAAGCCGATTTCTACCCTAGGCCATCACCCACCCTGAGCAACCACTAATTGTACCTTCTGATCGGTAAATGGGTCTATTTAAGCATTTCATATCAATTGACTCACGTAACATCTGTCATTTCTGTGACTGGGTTCCTTCACTCAGCATGATGTTTTCAAAGGTTCATACACATGTACCATGTATTATATTTTACTCTTTTTCTTACCATATTATAGTCCATGGTATGCATATACAATATTGCACTTATGTTTCAGTTTAGGTTTTCTCAGTATTTAGATATCATGAATAATGCTGTTTTGTGTAAAGCATTTTTGTGAATGTAGTTTTAAAATTCTTTTCGCATATACTCTGGAGTGGCATTGTAGGATAATGTGGTAATTCTTTGTTTAGTTTATTGAGGAAAAAAACAAACTACTTTTTTATTGTTTAGAAACATGATATTTTTAATAACCTCTTCAAGATTATGGTATTTTTTTATTTCTTGCTGTGAAGCAACCGTTGTCCCACCTTTGCCCCTCTGCCCCCCCGACTCCCACAGTCCATCCCCCCGGAGTCCATGTGAGTAAGTCCTCTGTCCATGTCCTTTTGCTTGCTCCTCCCGCTTCTTTTCCCCTTTATGCTCCTCCCCCAGCCCCTCTGGTCACTGTCAGTTTGGTCTTTAATTCCATGTCTCTGGTTCTATTTTGCTCATTTATCTGTTTTTTTCTTATGAGGTTCCACGTATGGGTGGGATCATATAGCATTTGTCTTTCACCCCCTGGCTTACTTCACTTAGCATAATGCTCTCCAGGTCCATCCATGCTGTTGTGAAGGGTAGGAGCTCCTTCTTTCTTTCTGTTGCATAGTATTCTGTTGTGTAATTGTACCACAGTTCTTTGGTCCACTCACTGATGGGCACTTAGGCTGTTTCGAGCACTTAGCTATTGTAAATAATGCTGCTATGAACATGAGGGTGCATAGGTTCTTTTGAATTGGTGTTTCAGGATTCTCAGGGAATAGTCACAGCAGTGAGATCACTGGATCAAAAGGCAGTTCCATCTTCAGCTTTTTGAGGAACTTCCAGACTGTTTTCCACAGTGGCTGCACCAGTCTGCATTCCCACCAACAGTGCACTAGGGTTCCCTTTTCCCCACAGCCTCACCAGCACTTGTTTGTCGAATAATTAATGATGTTCATTCTGACTGGTGTGAAGTGGTATCTCATTGTGGTTTTAATTTGCATCTCTCTAATGGCTAGTAATGTTAAGTATTTTTTCACATGTCCCTGGGCTATCTTTATGTCCTCCTTGGAGAAGTATCTGTTCAGATCCTTTGTTCACTTGTTAATTGGATTGTCTGTCTTCCTGGTGTGGAGTCGTGTGAGTTCTTTATACATTTTAGAGATTGAACCCTTATCCAAGGCATCATTGTCAAATATGTTTTCCAATATGGTTAGTCGCCTTCCCATTTTGTTGATGATTTCTTTAGCAGTGCAGAAGATTTTTAGTTTGATATAGCACCATTTATTTATTCTTTCCTTTATATCCCTTGCTCTAGGGGATGTATCAGTGAAAATATTGCTGCATGGGACAGCTGAAATTTTCCTGCCTCTATTTTCTTTTAGGACTTTTATGGTGTCATGACTTATATTTGAGTCTTCTATCTATTGAGTTTATTTGGGGGTATGGGGTAAATTGATGGTCTAGTTTCTTTTTTTGCATTTACATGTCCATATCTCCCAAACCATTTCCTGAAGAGGCTCTTTTTACTCCATTTTATGTTCCTGCCCCTTTTGTCAAACATTAGCTGACTGTATTGACATGAGTTTATTTCTGCGATCTGTAATCTGTTCCATTGGTCTTTGCATCTGTTCTTATGCCAGTACCAAACTATTTTGATTACAGTGGCCTTGTAATATAGTTTGGTATCAGGTATTATGATCCTTCCCACTTTGCTCTTCTTTCTCAAATGCTGAGGCTATTCAAGGTCATTTATGATTCCATATGAATTTTTGAAATGTTTGTTCTATATCTATGAAATATGTTATGGTATTTTGATAGGGATTGCATTGAATCTATAGATTGCTATAGATAATATGAACATTTTGATGATGTTATTTCTCCCAATCCATGAACACAGTATATGCTTTCATTTATTATATATACATATATACATATATATGTACATACATATATATGTGTGTGCATATATATATTTTTTATTGAGTATGCTATTACAGTTGTCCAATTCCCTCCTCTCACCAGCATTCCCTGCCTCCTTAGTTCATGTCCATGAGTCATGTACATATTAGTTCTTTGACTTCTCCATTTCCTGCACTATTCTTAACATCCCCCTGTCTATTCTGTATCTACTATTTGTGCTTCTTATTCCCCATACCTTTTCCCTCATTCTCTCACATCCCACTCCCCTCTGATCTCCATTTCTGTGATTCTGCTCCTGTTCTAGTTGCTTCTTTAGTTTGTTTTTATTTTTTAGGTTCATAGTTGTGAGTTCATTGTCACTTTACTGTTTATATTTTTGATCTTCTTCTTTTTCTTAGATATTTCCCTAAAATATTTCATATAATAAGGGCTTGGTGATGATGAACTCCTTTAACTTTACCTTATTTGGAAAGCACTTTAGCTGCCCTTCCATTCTAAATATTAGCTTTGCTGGATAGAATAATCTTGGATGCAGGTCCTTGCTTTTCATGACTTTGAATACTTCTTTCCAGCGCCTTCTCGCCTGAAAGGTTTCTTTTGAGAAATCAGCTGATAGTCATATGGAAATTCCTTTGTAGGTAACAGCTCTCCTTTTCTCTTGCTGCTTTTAAGATTATCTCCTTATCTTTAATCTTGAGTAATGTAATTATGATGTGCCTTGGTGTGTGGTTCCTTGGGTCCAACTTCTTTGGGACTCTCTGAGATTCCTGGATCTACTGGAAGTCTATTTCCTTCACCAGATTAGGGAAATTCTCCTTCATTATTTTTACAAATAAGTTTTCAATTTCTTGCTCTTCCTCTTTTTCTGGTACCCCTGTGATTCAGATGTTGGAGCATTTAAAGTTGTCCCAGAGGTTCCTAAGCCTCTCCTCATTTTCTTGAATTCCTGTTTCTTCATTCTGTCCTGGTTGAATGTTTATCTCTTCCTTCTGCTCCAAATTGTTGATTTGAGTCCAGTTTCCTTCCCTTTACTGTTGGTTCCGTGTATATTTTTCTTTATTTCATTTTGCATATCCTTCACTTTTTCCTCCATTTTGTGACTATACTCAACCATTTCTGCGAACATCCTGATTACCAGTGTTTACCACTGTGCCTTTGATAGGTTGGCTATCCCTTCATCACTTAGTTATTTTTGGACCTTTGATCAGTTCCTTCATTTGGGCCATATTTCCTTGTCTCAGTGTGCCTGTTACATTGGAAGGGGCAGAGCCTTAGTTACTCACCAGGGCAGAGTAACCCAGGTTGCTGCGTTGTGACACCGTATACAGGAGAGGGCTCCAAGGGGGAACAATGCAGCTTTGCTTGGCTCTTGGCAGGCTTTCAGTCATTTCCTCTGTTACACACAAGCAAATTGAGCCCTTCTAGAGCTGATTCCCAGGTAAGTGGGACTGTATACGTTTTAGACCCTGTGGGTCTCTCCAACGAACTGTCCTGTGAGTCTGGGAGTATCTCCCACCACCGCATCCCTCACAGGTTTTTACAGCCAGAGGTTTGGAGGCTTTCTTTTCCCACACTGGAACCCTGGATTGCATGGTCTGTCTCTCTCCCCAACTGTTCCTCCTGGTTTATCCACATGCAAATGTGGGACCCCGGGGTCCTCCAGCCACCACCTTGCTGTGTGGCCTCTCTGTGCTGGCTGCCCATCTCTGCCCCTCCTACTGGTCTGCTGAATGTTTCTTCTTTAACTCCTGGGTTGTCAGACATCCATGAAGTTTGATTTTCCAGCAGTTCTGGCTGTTTTTGTTTTTAAATGTGCTGTTGTCCTTCTTTTGGTTGTGCAAGGAGGCAAACTGTATCTACCTATGCCTACACCTTTGCCAGAAGTCTCTGCTTCCCTATATTTCTTTCTTCCTTACTTTCTTTCTTTTGGTATTATAGTTTTCTGGTACAAGTCTTTTACCTCCTTGGTTAGGTTTATTTCTAAGTATTTTGTTTTTCTTGTTGCTATCATACATGGGATTTTTTTTCCCCCAATTTCTGTTTCTGATATTTCATTTTAGGTGTACAAAAATATCTTTGATTTCTGAATGTTGATCTGTATCCCACCCTTTTGCCAAATTCATTTATTAGGTCAAGTAGTTTTATGGTGGAGTCTATAGGTTTTCTGTGTACACGATCATGTCATCTGCAAACAGTCACAGCTTTACTTCCTCCTTTCCAATATGGATGCTTTTTTTTCTTTTTCTTGTCTGATTGCTGTGGCTAGAACTTCCAATATTCTGTTGGATAGAAGTGGTAAAAAATGAAACCTTTGTCTTGTTCCTGATTTCTGCCTGTTGAGTATGATGCTGGCTGTCTGTTTCTCGTATATAGCCTTTATTATGTTGAGGTATGCTCCCACTTTTCCCACTTTGCTGAGAGTTTTTATTGTAAATGGGTTCTATACTTATCAAATGCTTTTTCAGCATCTATTGATATGATCATGTGTCTTTCATATTGTTTATGTAATGTATTACATTTATTGATTTGCATTTATTGCACCATCCTTGCATCCCTGTGATTAATCCCACTTGATCATGGTGTATGATCTTTTGAATGTATTGCTGGATGCAGTTTGCCAATATTTTGTTGAGGATTTTAGCATCTGTGTTCATCAGCAATATTGGTCTGTAGTTTTCTTTCTTTGTTATGTCTTTATCTGGTTTTGGAATGAGGATAATACTAGCCTCTTAAAATATGTTGGGGAAACTTCCCTCTTTTTGGATTGGTGAAAAAAAAAAAAACTATTCTCTACATCACCATACCAGTTGATATTCCCGTCAGCAAAATCTGTGGGCTCCAATTTTTCTGCTCTCCCACCAACACTTGTTATTGTCTGTCTTTTTTATTATGGCCATCCCAGTGCTTATAATGTAGTATCTGATTGTGGTTTTGATTTCCTTTTATCTAATGAATAATGACTTTAAGTATATGGTTATCTTTCACATACAAGTTAAGTTTTCTACTGATTAATATTTCACAATTATTTTAATATCAGTTACCCATGATTTCAAGGATGACACTCAGTGGTGATGTTATCTGCTCAATAATGACGTTAAACTCAAAGAAAATTGTTGTAACACAAGACACAGATGTTGCCTTAGTGCCATTGTGAGCAGCAGGGCCCCCGCTTGAGATTTTAATTCAAAGCATAAAGTCTTCTTGGAGGGAACTTGCAGGCTGGGTTGTGGGGCTCTGATGCATGAAAGGGGAGGCCAAACTCTCCTGCTATTGATCACAAACCTAGATTGGGTGGTGTCAGATACAAAGTGGTGGGAGGACAACACCTGAGCTCTGAGGACAAGGAGGTGTCACGATGAACTTACCCTGGTCTTACAGGAACCACAAGGAAGTGCATAAGAAGCGAAGATGGAAATTGGTACAACCCCAGGGAATTTGAAGTCAGAGGAGGCTATGGAAAATCAAGTAACTGGAAGACCAGCCTGACCTGCCGTGGAAAAACCCTAAAAGAGCTGATGGAGGTATTTCAGTGAGGGGGCAGGAGGTGTGACTTTCCTTGTTGTGGTCAATGATATGGTCACTATTTGTTCATCAAATACCTGCTGCATTATAGTGGGAGCCCTGAGTCCCTGACTTTAACCTTTTCCTGCTAAAAGGCACTCCAGGCTCATACATCAATACAAGGGAGTCCATCAATTTCTCAAAGGGACTCTGTTCGGTGGATGCAGGAGCTCTGGGAGGGAAAGGTCATTCTGACTCAGGTGCCTGCAGACAACTTCAGGCACTGAAAGAGAGACCATCTGCAGTCAAACAAGTGGGCAGAAGACACTCAAGAAAAATGGTGTAAAATCCAGAAACACAATTAATGTGACTCCATGGTTTGAGCTAAATGGATTGTGTGTGATACGGCATAATCCATCGATTGAGGTTGTTTACAGAGGGATTTAATGTCAGGCTAAGGAGTTTAAACTCATAACATAGACAGTGAAGAACCAGGGAGTCTCCTGAGATGTGAAATGACATATTAAAACCATGTCTCAGACAATGTAGGGCCTTGAAATGATTTCACTGTCTTTTAGCCCAAGGAACCAATATTCACCCTATAACGCTCAGCTCAGCTTTCAGTCCTCTGTGAATGTTCCCTGACTAACCTGCCCTAGTCATCCCTTTCCTGGGCCCCCTGAACTCACTATTAAGGCCCTTCTCACACTATTTTATATTTATCCTTCCAGGCATTCCTTTTGTCTCTAGACCCCTTTAAGGTTTGTCCTTCTTTGGGTGCCCAACATTGTCCAGGGTGTCTGACACACTGTAGGTGTGGGACACATGTGTGTCTGCTGAACAGCCCTGGTGTGAGGAGGCAGGTGTGCGTGGCACTGGTGGGAATGGGGAGGGGGTGAGATGTGCCAAAGAGATTGTGAAGGAAAACCTCTGAAAACTTAGAGAAAAGTGCAAGAGCAAGGAAAAAGTTTCTAAAGATGAATACCTGGGTTCCGTGGATGAATCTAGAAGAACAGGTGAGGAGAGGGAGATGGTTTTTCAGTTAGTCACCTGGGCTTTGAGCTGACAGTGGGACATTTGTGCAGAAATATTTACAAGGAGGTTGGAATGCCAGGCTCACAAAACTGAAACACAGGCTAAGCATCAACTTGTATCATTTTATCTTTCAGCTTGGAAAGCTACACACACCTCCAAAAACAATTGACAGGAAAAAAAAGGTGATTATTCTATTATACAAGTTCTTATTACATAACTGATATATAGGTACTACACCACTTTTATGGTTTCTCAGTTGTGTACTTAACATTGCTTCTTCTTCTCCTCTCCTGTGCCTTTATTTATTTACTTATGTGTGTATGTACGTATGTATGTATGTATTTTGCATGCCTTCAGAGTTGCTCAATTAGACATTAGTTTGTATGCAAAATTATCTGTGAATTGTAAACCATTTGAGATGGGGTTTATAAGGAGCAATCAAAATAGACCTCATAGCTGAGTTTACACTATACATGCAGATGTTGTGATGTTGTAAAAGCAAACATGATTATGGGAGACATAAAAACATTTCTTAATAAGGTCATAGAGTCATCTTCAACTCAACCCCAGATTTTTTTATAAAGGTTAATATTTTCTAACTTTAATGAAATCTAATTAAGCAAAAGTTTGCTCCCCATCATCCAGATGAAACTGCCTAGTAGTGGACAGTCTATATTGGGACATATATGAAACCATATATTACTTCATGAGGTACAAAACTGAGAGCATATTTCTTTTCTGATTTTTACATCCTCTTCCATCCTTCAATAAAATATACATGGCAAACATACAGAATTCCTTCTCAAGCAGAAATTATTGGCAGATTTTTCATGAGGATAGTGCTGCTGGGGAGGGAGTTCTTGGGAGATGAATGTAGCCTACGTGAGGGGCTGACCTGGAAAATGGTTTACTTTGATGGCCCCCCATTCCCTCCACCTCAGGGGGTGTGCAGGCCTCCTTTCTGTCTCTGAAAGTGGTTTCTCCCTCTGTGGAGGAAGGCTGTGGGGGCAAAAAACAAATACGTAATGTGCAGTGTAGATTGAGGCCAAAGTGGTAGTGTTTTCAAGACTGGGTCTGAATGAGAACTTGAGAAGGAGGGGGAGGTGGGAGGGGCCGTTCTCACACTTCAGGTAGAAATGGGCGCCCAGGACTTTCACAGAATCCCCCATTAGCTTACACAGAGCTGGGACTTCATCTGACACTGGGAGTGTGAGCTCCAGGCCTTTATATATTATCTGATGCCCCCGGTCTTTTTTTAAATGTTTTTATTGATTTGATTTTATTTTTTGCATTTTGTATTGTTGTTCAAGTACAGTTGTCTCCATTTTCCCACTACCACTATCCCCTGCCCTACCCACCCCTACCTCCCACCCTCAATCCTTCCCACCTTTGGCTTTGCCTGTGGGTCCTTTATACATGTCCCTTGATGACCCTTCCCCTTCTTCCCTCTGTGTTCCCCCTCTCCCCACCCCTCTGGTTACTGTTTGTTCTTTATTTCAATGTTTCCAGTTATATTTTACTTGCTTCTTTGTTTTGTCAATTATAGGTAAGATCATATAGTATTTCTCATTCTCCCCCTGGCTTACTTCACTTAGCATAATTCTCTCCAGTTCCATCCATTGCTGTCTTGAAGGGTAATAGCTCCCTCTTGCTTTCTGCTGCAGTGTTCCATTGTGTAAATAAATGTACCATAGTTTTTTGATCCACCCATTTGCTGTTGGACACTAAGATTGCTTCCAGCACTTGGTTATTGTAAATTGTGCTACTATAAACATTGGGGTGCATAGGTTCTTTTGAATTAGGGTTTGGAGATTTTTAGGGTATAATCCCAGCAGTTGGAATTTCCAGGTCAAAAGGCAGATCCATTCTTAGTTTATTGAGGAAATTCCATACTGTTTTCCACCGTGGCTGCACCAGTCTACATTCCCACCAACAGTGCACGAGGGTTCCCTTTTCTCCACAGCCTCACCAGCACTTGTTTATTGATTTGTCTATGACAGCGATTCTGACTGATCTGAAGTGGTGTCTCATTGTAGTTTTAATTTCCATCTCTCTGATGGCTAGTAATGCCAACCATCCTTTCACATGTTTCTGAGCCCTCTGTATGTCTTCCTTGGAGAAGTGTCTGTTCAGGTCCTTTGCCCATTTTTTAATTGGATTGTTTGTCTTCTTGGTATGGAGCTGCCTGAGTTCTCTATATATATTGAAGATCAAACCCTTGTCTGAGTATCATTGGCAAGTGTATTTTCCTATTCGGTTTATTCCTTTTTCATTTTGCTGATGTTTTCGTTATCTGTGCAGAAGCCTTTTATTTGTATGAAGTTCCATTTGTTTATTCTTTCCTTTATGTCCCTTGCTCTAGGGGATATATTGGTGAAAACTTTGCTGTGTGGAATATCTGACATTTTCCTGCCTATGTTCTCCTCTAGGACTTTTATGGTGCAATAACATATATTTAAGTCTTTTATCCATCTTGAGTTTATTTTTGTGTATGGTATAAGTTGGTGGTCAAGTTTCATTTTTTTGTGCATATCTGTCCAAATGTTCCAACACCATTTCTTGAAGAGCCTATTTTTACTTCATTTTATGCTTCTGCACCCCTTTTCAAACATTAGTTGACCATAGAGATTTGGGTTTATTACTGGGATCTCTATTCTATTCCAATGATCTATATGTCTGTTCTTGTGCTAGTGTCAGACTGTTTTGATTACAGTAGTCTTGAAATATAGTTTGATGTCAGGTATTGTGATCCCTCCTATTTGGTTCTTCTTTCTCAAAATTGCTGAGGCTATTTGGAGTCATTTATGGTTCCATATAAATTTTTAAAATATATATTCTATATTTGTGAAATATGTCATTGTTATTTTAATAAGGATAGTGTTGAATCTGTATTTTGCTTTGGGTAATATGGACATTTTGATGATGATAATTCTTCCAATCTGTGAACACAGTAAATGCTTCCATTTGTTTGTGTCTTCCTTAATTTCTTTCTTAAGCACAGATCTTTTACCTCCTTAGTTAGGTTTATTTCTAGGTGCTTTATTTTTCTTGTTGCTATAGCAAATGGGATTTTTTTTTCCTGATTTATGTTTCTGACATTTCATTGTTGGTGTACCAAAACACCTTCAATTTCAGAATTGACTTTGTATCCCGCTGCTTTGCCAAATTCACTTATTAGATTGAGTAGTTTTTTTGGTGGAGTCTATAGGGTTTTCAATTTACACTGTCATGTCATCTGCAAACAATGACAGTTTTACTTCCTCCTTTCCAATTTGGATGCCTTTTATTTCTTTTTCTTGTCTGATTGCTGTGGCTAGGACTTCAATACTATGTTCAATAGAAGTAGTAAAAGCAGACATCTTTGTCTTGTTCATGATCTTAGTGGAGAAGCTTTCAATTTTTCCCTGTTGAGTGTGATGTTGGCTGTAAGTCTTTATTTATGGCTTTTATTATGTTGAGCTATGCTCCCTTTACTCCCACTTTGCTGAGTGTTCTTATTATAATGGATGCTATATCTTATCAAATGCTTTTTCTGAATCTATAGACATGATTGTGTGACTTTTGTCTTTCTTTTTGTTTATTATGTGATGTATTACATTTTTTTATTGTGAATATTGTACCATCCTTGCATCCCTGTGATTAATCCCACTTGATCATGGTGTATGATCTTTTGAATGTATTGCTGGATCATGTTTGGCAACATTTCGTTAAGGATTTTAGTGTCTATATTCATCAGCAGTATTGGCCTGTAGTTTTCTTTCTTTGTTGTGTCTTTATCTGGTTTTGGGATTACGATGATGCTGACCTCATAAAAAGAGTTTTGGAGTCTTCCCTCTTCTTGGATTTTTAGGAATAGTCTGAGAAGGACAAGGGTTAGCTCTTCCTTAAATGTTTTGTAAAATTCTCCTATGAAACTATCTGGTCCAGGGCTTGTGTGCCCAGAGTTTTTTCATTTCTGCTTAATTTCACTAGCTGTTATCAATCTGTTCAGGCTTTCTGCTTCTTTGTGATTCAGTTTTGGAAGATTTTTTTTTTCTGGAAAATTGTCCATTTCACCCAGGTTTTCAAATTTTAAGACATATAGTTGTTTGTAGTAATTTCTTATAATCCTTTGTATTTTTTTTGGTATCAGTTATTATTTCTCCTCTTTCATTTCTGATTTTATTTATTTGGGTCCTCTGCCTTTTTTTCTTGAGTAGTCTGGTTAAAGGCTTGTCATTTTGTATATCTTCTCAAAGAACCAGCTCCTGGATTTATTAATCCTTTGATTTGTTCTTTTAATCTCTATGTCATTTAGTCTGCTCTGACCTTGATTATTTCCTTCCTTATACTCAAACAAAAAAAACTCAGGGCTTTGTTTGTTGTTGTTTCTCCAGTTATTGAAGATGTAGGGTTAGGTTGTTTATTTGAAATGTTTCTATCTTTTTTTAGGTAGGCTTGTATTGCTATGAACTTCCCTCTCAAGACTGCCTTCACTGTGTCCCATAGGTTTTGGACTGTTGTGTGTTCATTTTCATTTGTTTCCAGAAACTTTTTTATTTCTTTTTTGATCTCATTATTGACCCATTCATTGTTGAATAGTATGCCATTCAGCCTCCATGAGTTTGACTGTTTTTGAGTTTTTTTCTTGAGGTTGGTTTCTACCTTCAGGCCATTGTGGTCTGAGAAAGTGCTAGATATGATTTCAGTTTTCCTGAATTTGTTGAAACTTGTTTTGTGTCTTATCATGTGGTGTATCTTTGAAAATGTTCCATGTGCATTTAAAAAGATGTGCATTTTGCTTATTTGGGATGAAAGGTTCTATATATATCAGTTAAGTCCATTTGATCTAATACATTATTCAGTTCCACAATGTCCTTGTTGATATTTTGTTTGGAAGATCTTTGACAGCGGGGTGGTAAAATCCCCTACTACAATTGTGTTGCTGTCTATATCTTTCTTTAAGTACTTCAAGTGTTCTTATATATTTGGGTGCTCCTATGTAGGATGCATATATGTTTACAATATTTATGTGTTCTTGATGGAGTTTTCCTTTGAGTATTATGAAGCGTCCTTCTGTGTCTCTTATTATGGCATTTGTTTTGAAATGTAGGTACTTATTCATTGCCATTTTACCCACTTTGTGTCTGTGTTCCCCTCTCTCTCATACTCTTTTTATTCATCTTGTTAAAGCAGTCCCTTT